TCCATTCCTGCTAGCTGCTCCTAAGGATGACTACAACTCCCAGCATACATTGCTTCAGAGGCATTTTTCTCTATGTCCCTCTTCCCCACCCCCGGGCACGTCTCTCCTGCTGCGCTCACTGCATTGCATTGAGGGCTACCGTTTTATTGTCTAGGTAGGGAAAAACAGAAAGGAAGGACCAGGCTGTCCTCCTCCGCCGCCGCCGCCCGTGTTATGCAAACGAGCCTCGCTTTCTTCCAATCGGGTGAGGAGGGCGGGGCCATGGTCCCGTGGTCCGAGGCCTCCTTTCTCTGGGCCCCTTTCTACCCCCACCCCACCCCCACACCTAAGCCGCCATCTTGTTCTTGCCGCGTGTTGCCTTCGGAGGGTTCTTCGGACTGAGGTGAAAACTTCCTGCTTGACCCCCTCCGCGCCCCGTTGCCCTTGCGCCCCTCACGGTCCCCACAGGTCGAGATTGCGGTTCCTCCGCCCCACACTCCGCTGTGCGCGCGCGGAGCGCCATGGGCGGTGGGAGGGGCTGCTGGTGGGCCGGAGAGAGTGGGCCTGGCAACTGGGCGCCTGCGGGGAGCCCAGGCTCCGCTGGGGAACGCCTTCCCCGAGGTCCGGCCCTTGGAAGCAGAGCCCCCCCCCGCCCGCCACAGCGCCCGTTCAAGTCCACCCCCCACCCCCGGTCAGGGTTGGTGGGCGCGGACCCTCCGTCGCGGAAACCTTTCCGCAACAGAAGCGGGCTTGCTGAGGACTAGCTCCACCTCCTCGCCCAAAGCACTTTAGGGGCAGCAGGATCCTGCGCTGGCCTAGGTCGCACTGCACCCAAAATGTGGGTTACGCCTTGGACGGGGTTCCCATCCCTGGGCTTAAGACATTGAGGGGGCTTCCTTACTGCCCCTTAGTGTACCGGGGGTGTTTCTTTTTTGTGTTCCTTTATACCCTTAGGGAAGCCCGCACCCCTCCTCCAACAGGAACTGGCAATCTGGAGCTCTTTCACCTTCCTGTGTAGATTTTACTGCTCGCTTAATACATTTCTGTGTTTCATCAGTTGCCATGTTTTAATTTTGGAGACCTTGGGGTTTTTGCTTTGTTTTTTGTTTTATTGCTTGCAACTGAACGTTCCTTTGTATCAAAGGCTGTATATTATCATATTTGGTTTCTCTGCTGTGCGGAGTTAGTTCTTGTTCACACCATTTTCTTTTTAAGGGCATGGAAACCTACACTTTGGATATAATAATAGAATAAGCGTCTATGAAGCTGCAAAATTCTGAAATGAGCTGCAAAATTCTGAAATAAGGAACATGCCTGCTGCTTCCAAAACTAAATGATGTAAATCCCCCCTTCCACAACTCCTTGATTTTAACATTCTCAGTATCAATAGTTTAACTTTTCTCTAATTCCAGTGAGGAAAATGGAGATTAGGCTCCTCTGCAAGAATGTTTTCCTCCATGCTGTGGTGGATGTTCTTGTTACCCAGTTCTAGCCATTAGTTTTCTTCTTCCTGGTAGTACTTTTGCTGATTCCACCTCTTTTGTAGACGTACTAAAGGTTCTTTAGTTCAAGGTTGAAATAAAGACCATTCCTGTTGTGTCTTTCTCTGCTTCTACTAATCTGACCTTCTTTGTACTCCTAGGGTCGAATCCTTGATAAAACAAATTGTGGCTTGTTTCTGAGAACATATTTCTCCTTTTTCAACCCATCAAAGGGATAGAGCTAATGGGGGCCTTGAGAAAGGAAAACCTTTCCATTTTCTTCATTGCCAAATGCTTAGCTACTTGTTATTTTCAAGCTGCAGGAATTCTGGTTTGCAAAGTATAAGCTGCTGACTAACTTAGTTCTGTTTAGTTCAATTGCAACATGACAACTGGTTATGGGTTAGAGAATAAAATGGCACACTGCAGCTTTAACTTTTCCTGAAGCATGCACATGCTGCTTGATATGGAATGTCATATTTTAAAATGAAATGAAAATGAATCTGACCCATATCCCAAAGTAAACACATTGCAGACCAAAGTGCTAGGTTTTTAATAGTTATTTGACTTATGTGTTACTGCTGGTTGTTAACTCTCTCTGTCCTGGTCCTAGACATAGTTGCATCTTTGGGACTTAATAGTGAGCAAAAACATAGATCTAAGCAAATGTTTCCATAAATCTCATTTAAGCAGATAAGACATGGGGTTGATTGGTCAAGTGTTTGTACCTTTGAAAGTGACCCGGAAACTACAACTAATCCAGAATGCAGCAGCTAGACTGGTGACTGGGGGCAGCCGCTTAGACCACATAACACCTACACTACCCAATAAGTTTCTGAGCAAAATTCAAAGTGTTAGTGCTGACCTTTAAAGCCCTAAACGGCCTTGGTCCAGTATACCTGAAGGAGTGTCTCCACCCCCGTAATTCTGCCCGGACACAGGTCCAGTGCACAGGGCCTTCTGGTGGTTCCCTTGCTGCGAGAAGCCAAGTTATAGTGAACCAGGCAGAGGGCCTTCTCAGTAGTGGCACCCGCCCTGTGGAACGCCCTCCCACCAGATGCCAAGGAGAACAACAACTACCAGACTTTTAGAAGACATCTGAAGGCTTCCCTGTTTAGGGAAGCTTTTCATGTTTAATAGACTATTGTATTTTAATATTCTGTTGGAAGCCTCCCAGAGTGGCTGGGGAAACCCAGCCAGACAGGCGGGGTATAAATTATTATTATTAAGGGTGTGGTATGTAACATAGGAAAGGCTCAATGACTATATTTTCATGATTTGATTGATTGCTTCCTCATTTGTGTACTAAGACTTAATGCTCAAGTTGCCATTTCTATAGTACAGTAAATGCATATTAGTAGTTTGTATTCCGAGTACAAAATCATAATGGGTCAATTTTGCTTGCATGTATATGCGTTTTGGATTAGGGCTGTGTTTTTAGGACCACAAATTATCTTATGCACACTTTTTGGACTCCATGGCTGATATTCAACATTGTGCTGTTATGAACATTCTCTCTGTGCAAGCATGTCAGCTTGCCAGATGGAACAATTCTCCCCTCGCCTTGCCCTGCACACTACTTTGGGGTTCTCCTGATGCTTCCCAAACTAATTTTAGGGGGTTCTAAGAAGGAGGAGTGGGGGGGAAACCTTGTGCAAGTGGAAGTCCGTGACAGGGCTTCCGCTGATGGAACGTGTTAGGTGAATCCCTTCCATCATAAATATTTTCAGAAAAAGTGAGCTTGCCTTGTAGCTTGATGATTCTAGAGTCATATCTCCTCTCAGCCATAAAGGTCACCAGGTAGCCTTGGACAAGTAAGTCGCTGTCTCTTAGTGTCATTTACACCACAGGGTGGTTTATGAGCCACAAAATACTGCTCTGAGCTCCTTAGTGAAAGGGTAGAATATAGATGTAACCAACATGGGTGTAATAGGCAGTTTCCAAGATTCATTCTTTGTCACATGCTCCCAACTTCCTGATATACACTATCATGACTAACAAATGTTATGTAGATGGAAATGCACAGACCAAGATGTGGCACCATGCAGATAGAGGCAGGCTCAATTCTCAATAGCTTCTGTAGTTCTGTGTGAAAAAAATTAACAGTTCAGTTTGGGACATGGAGGGCAAACATTCCAGATATAGGGATTGTCCTGTCAGATGTCAGATTTAGCATGTGTGTGTGTACATGCACACTGGTATTCCTAAGTGCATGCCTTTACTTTCTCTCCTGAGCAAATGGCAGCTGCTCATTCCTGTGTGAGGAAGTAAGTGCTGGGAACCATGATATGGTGACTGCAAAACCAGTTACCAGCTGCAGGGATAGGGGTAGTGTGGAAAGCGATGTCTTCTCTCCTTGAAGGCAGTCCAGGGGCAGGATGGGGGAAGAGCCAACATGATTTCAGTGCTTTTACACCCCCACCCTCGAGATAGTTTGAGGAATTGGAATAGAGGTAACATTCCTTTTATTTGTGTGCATTCAGATACAGATGCTTGGTATTTTGAAAGGCAGTGAAGTAAAAATTATTAAATAAATCTGAATATGTTATAAGCATTTATGTTGTTTGTATTTTTCAGATAAAGCACGATGAATCAAGAAAAGCTGGCTAAACTTCAGGCGCAGGTCCGAATAGGTGGAAAGGTATGAATGCAAGAATATAACTTCCTCCACTCCATTTATAATTATTGTATGTGTGTAAATAGAAACACACACACACACACACGTGTGTGTGTGTGTGTGTGTGTGTGTGTAATACATATGTAAGTATTTTCCATAGTTTAGGGGTTTGTAGGGAATGTCTGTTTTCCTTGGGCTATTGCCCATTCTGATGTGCTCAGGCTGGTTCTGAGTATATAGCCCTAGTACTGTTGGCTACATTCTTTTGAGAAGAAAAAGGTTCATGTTATATTCTTGAACTGTTTTCTTAAAAGATGAACATTTTTTTCTACAAAGGCAGCATATTATGTAATGTTGAAACAGTATATCTTAGGTGCTGAAGGAGTTGTTACTGGTAATTGGACACACAAGGCTGAAAAGAGGAAGGGCAGCAGAAATGGAATTGGTCCTTGCAGCAGGAAATGCATTGTGGTCTGAGGACCACCACCACCTTTAGCCTACTATTTTGCACCCTCACATTGCCACCTTAATGATAATCCCCCATGAAAACTGTCACTGAATCAAGCCTCCCTTCCTTGGCGGCAATAAGTGAGAAAATTTGGAGTGGAAAGTTAGAGTAGGATTATACAAATTATACAGTAGTGAAACAGGTTCTTGCCTAAAAAAAACTCCTCCTACTGCAGTACATGTATTACATTTTAAGGTACTTTGGGATTATTTTGTTGTTTTTGATAAGCATTTGTGTAAGATCCATTTTTCTTCCTCTAGGAGCAATGATTTATTTTCTCCATTCTGTGTTTCAGGGTACAGCTCGTAGAAAGAAGAAGGTAGTCCACAGAACAGCCACAGCTGATGATAAAAAGCTTCAGAGTTCACTCAAAAAATTGGCAGTAAACAATATTGCTGGGATTGAAGAGGTACATCAGTATAAATCATTTTCAGTCATATCTACGTGATCTCCCAACTGATCACAGGGATAATGTGAAATCTTTCTGATTTAAAATGGGGTTATTTGGGGGGGGACAGGACGTGGGGCCTGTGGGCCAAGTCAGGCCCCTTAAAAAGAGAAGTGCCTGGCCTCTGGCAACCTTACCTCATTTTAAATGAGGTGTGGCTCAGAGTTTGTTGTGATTTCAGTGTGTGTGTGTGTATATGTGTGTGTGTGCATTGTGTGAGAGATCCTTCAATAAGAGGTCTTTTGGAGTTTCATGCATGATTTCCCTTGTATAACTGAGGACATTTGTTCCATAACTTTGTGTGGGATGGAGCAGATATTACAGAGTCCCATGGAAGGGGCAGTTTATGTGACAAAATAGTCCACTTCTAACTTTCCTACCTTGCTCTCTCAAGATTCAACTTGGCATCTGATGAAGTAGGCTGTTGGCTATGAAAGCTCATGCCAATTTGCAATAAAAAGCTTATGAAGAAGTAATCTCAAGGTGCTGTCAAATATGTATCTAATAATAATAATGATAAAAATAATAATAAACTAGCACAACTTCCATATTACATAAATCAGGGTATTTTTATTATGAGAATGTGCAGTAGAAAGTATTGGGTTCACACACAGCCTCCTTTGCTCCCCCGCCCCCATCCTCTTGTTCTAATATGAGGGAAGAGTAGAAGTGTCCTGTTCTGGCTTGCAGCAAATTGTGATTTGTCCTCAAAACAAAGAGACACACAAACCATGGTTTATCTTCATCTCCTGCTGTGCTTTTGGGATCTTCACTTGACAGCACTCTACGGGTTGCTGCAAACTAGAAGCAGAAGCTTTACTCTCACCTCATGTATGAAATAAGAGAGAAGGGTTGGAGGGCATCTGCAAACCTGATGATTGGCACTGCTCTTTCTCTAAAGGACAAACTGTGTTTTGACATTATGTCTGAATTAAGATACATACAAGATGCAAAGTTTTAACTGGAAAACACAAGTCAGATTGTTGCTTAACTGTGATCCTGGGCACATTTACTTGGAAACAAGTTCCTTTGAAACAAAAGGTTTTATTCTAAGTAACTTTACGTCCCTTTTCTAAAGGCATTTTGTATGAAAGTAACTGCGAGTCTTCTAGATGAGTAAGTAGAACCTTTTTGCCCCACTATCTACATGTGGAAATAGTATTATGTGGAATGGTATTATATTTGTTTACTATATTACATTTCCCCCCCAAAGCAGCATGCATGGAGTTTCCAGGCAGTCTTCCATCTAGAAACTGGCTGGATCCAGACCTACTTAGCTTCAGCAGGGTCCAGGCTATGATAGGGAGCCATTCCTTCCACTAGGCAAGTTGCTTTAAGCAGATGTTTGAGAGAGCAGGGAAACAGCTGCTATCCTGCTGTAACAAGTCTTGTTATTGTGTTGAGTGTTTTGGCCCACTTCCAGAGGACAGCCCTGTTCTATAGTGGTCACAGTGTTCTGAAGAGGACATGATGGGCCTCAATATGGACTGGAGAAAGAGTATGGGTGGCACTTGGACATGTGTCTATATAGGAGCAATAAATAGGAGCATTAAACAAAGGACAGAGCAGAGTGCTATCCAGTGGACACCCATCATTTAAACCAATTTGAAAGTCATAGTTTCTCCAGAATTGTAGTTTTGTAGATCCTTAGAGCTCTTTGTTATTTTTGTGAGAAAGCTGAGGATATATCAGTGCAATGGCATAGCTCAGTCTTTCACAATGATCATGCGCTTTTTCAGAAAAACACCAAATATACAACATTTCTGGAATAATATATAGTGCTCATTTTCAGACATTGCTGTGCACATGCATATCTGATTGAGCATGGCATAACACACCCATAGTATAATTGTTCGCTTTTTAAAAAAATAGCACCAAGATTACACCATTGTGGACTAATAAATAATGATCACTTATATAAAGTGCATAATTTTTTGACTATTCCACTGTATTATATTAGTTTCCAGAGTTCTTTGCAATGGAGGGAAAGCAAGGGCAGTTAAAACATGTTTGAAACAAGTTTATTTTTGTATTGTAAAGATGCCTTATGTTTCTTAGCTTTGAAGTGTAATAGTTTATTTTAGATGTACAAAAGTGTGATATTTACATCAAAATTCCAGAGTATGAAAGCTGTGCCTCTCATTTCTTTTTTTTTTATCTTGAGAAATGTGACTTTCCTTTCATATTGTTTTTGGAACTGACATGACTTAGTTAAATGCTTAGGCTGCTGATATTTCAGTTATTTGTTAATCTGAATTCTTATTGCTTTACAAAATCTTGCACTTCCAACTGATGTAATTTTAAATTATATACATTGATGATAGTGTTTATAAATCTCTTTTACAGTTAGTCAGGCCTAAAATTGGGTGTGCAACGCCTTAGAGTGGATGCTAACTATTACAAAATAAAAAAATCTTGGTGGTTCTTTTCTTTCTTGATAGTACTTTTTTAATATTAATTAAGGTGAATGAATTTTAATCATCTATTTTTAAAACAGGTGAATATGATAAAAGATGATGGAACAGTTATTCATTTCAACAATCCCAAGGTCCAGGCTTCGCTTTCTGCAAATACATTTGCAATTACTGGTCATGCTGAAGCTAAACCAATTACGGAAATGCTGCCTGGCATCTTAAGCCAGCTGGGTGCTGACAGCTTAACAAGTCTCAGAAAGTTAGCTGAACAGTTCCCAAGGCAAGGTAGGTATCCCTGTCTGAGACATGGAGCTGGTTTTTTTCAGCCTTGTTTGTTAGCATAAAATTCCTGATCAATCGTAAGGGTCAGCTTTTCTTACTCTGAGTAGCTTTTCTTGTGCACAGGACTTTCTGTTTTTTATTCCACCCTCCCCCACGCATTCCTAACTTCACTAGAGCATTTCTAATAGTATAGAACAGGGACGTCCAACTCCTAAGAGACTGCGATCTACTCACAGAATAAAAAACTGGCAGTGATCTACCCCTTGGGGGGGTTCAGGTCAAAGTTGTTGAGCTTTTTTTAGGGCTCCATCTTCCTTTCCAGCGGAAATGGGAGGGGGGCAGGTGCTCTTGCCACCACAAAGGAAAGGGAGCCCGCAATCGACCAGTAGATCCCGATCAACATGTTGAACAACCCTGGTATAGAACTCTGCAATTCTGTGCATGTTTATTTAGAAGTCCCACTGTGTTTAGTGGACCTTGTTAATAGATAAGTATGCATAGGATTGCAGCATTTACTTAATATCAAGTTTTCCATAATTTCCCTAGTAATTCTTAATAATAATAATATTGTTGTTATTTATTATTATTTGTATCCCACCCTTCACCCTTAGATCTCAGGGCGGTTCAAACACAAAAATACAAGATAAAAACATAAAATAAATAATAGATACAAGAACCAAAAAAAACAAAAACCCCAGACCAATAAATCCACCACCCCCTCCCTTACTTTCCTCATTTGTAATAACTATATGGATACCTTGTATTGCTTTGTCCTTTCCCCAAACCATTAACTAAAGGCTTCTAAATGTGGGAATTGCTTTGAAAATTGCATTAACTAACAGATAGCTATGTGAATATACTTTGGAGCACCATGAGCAGAATGTTGTAACGGAAGGAGAAAATGAAGGTTTGGGGTATAATCTGAGTGTTGAACTTGTGTCTGATTAAAGACTTAACAACACAATCCTGTGCCTGCCTACTCAGAAGTAAGTCCAGTTGACATTAGTGGGACTTGCTCCCAGATACATGTATAAAGGGAACTATCACAGATGCTGCTTTTCAAGAGCTCAGGGTGGCAAGCATTGTAAACCCTATTTTGTCCTCATAGCAATCTTATAGGGAAAGTTAGGCTGAAAGTTAGTGACTCCCTTGGGGCCATTTAATGAGTTTCATGACAGGGTACATTGAAAGGTAAACAGAGTTCTCTTTTTTATTATTTTGATTTATTAGATTTATATACAGTACTGCCCTTCATCATAAGGTATCAGGGTGGTTCACAGAATAAAATCATGAAGGCATTTCCTTTATCACTTGACACTGGTACAGAGCAATGGAAGCTATTACAGTGGTGCCCCGCAAGACGAATGCCTCGCAAGACGGAAAACCCGCTAGACGAAAGCGTTTTCCGTTTTTGAGTTGCTTCGCAAGACGATTTTCCCTATGGGCTTGCTTCGCAAGACGAAAACGTCTTGCGAGTCTTGCGATTTTTTTTCGCTCCCCCCCCCCTTTTTCTAAGCCGCTAATAGCCTTTTAGCAGCTAAGCCGCTAAGCCTTTAATAGCCGCTAAGCCGCTAATAGCGCTAAGCCGCTAATAGGGTTGCTTCGCAAGATGAAAAAACCGCTAGACGAAGAGAATCGCGGAACGGATTCTTTTCGTCTTGCGAGGCACCACTGTATAAAAATATTTCTGTGATACCCTAATAGAAGAACAAAAACCCCCCACTATGTTGGTTACAAGCATATGAATTTTCTCACATACTTCTATTTGAATTATCTCTATATTAGTAAAACCTCAAAGCCCAATCCTAAGACTTGCTCCATTGGCATTTAGGATGGGAAGTTGTAAAACCTACATCAGCATAGATTGTAAAGATTTTACACCGAGAAAGCATACTGGGTAGATCTGTTATGTGGAAATGTTGTAAGATGTCGGGTATAATTCAGGAGAGATGCTTGCTGTTTGACTAATTTGGAGATACAGTGGAACCTTGGGTTTCGATCGTCTCCATTGACAAATGTATCAGAAGCCGAACGCCGAAAACCTGGAAATAAATGCTTCCGTTTTCGAACGTGCCTTGGAAGTCGAACTTTCGAAGCGGCGGCTTGTTTGAGTTTTCAGTTTTCAAACGTTTCAGAAGTCCTAACAGTCTTCCAGAACGGATTACGTTCGAAAACCGAGGTTCCACTGTAATATTCTATGTATTGGTTATTTTGTGTTAAATATCACAGGGTGTATGGCATCTCCAGTTGTGTGTCTGCTGCACTACTTATAAAGAGGTTTTATTCAGTCAGAACCAGTAATTGTTGCCTATAAACATTTGAGTGATAACTTCATAGAAGTTTGCAAAAATAATGATTCTTGTAAATTTCTGCTTGTAATTAATTTTCCACTGCCACTGTTTGCATAAAACCTATTTTATTTGCAAAGTTGCACTTCTTTTTTGTGCTGTAAACTGTGAAACTATGCATGCTGAATTTGTTTCTTAAATTGATCGAATTTTGTTAATTACTATATCAATAATTTTCTTTTCTTTTCTAGTGTTGGATAGCAAAGTACCAAAATCAGAAGATATTGATGAAGAAGATGATGACGTTCCTGGTAAGATTATTCTACTTAATCGTTAAATTATTTAGCATGTATCTGCTTGACTAAGCACGTGACAATGTTTTTGTAAATTTGAGAATCTACTTGGTGGGTTAATCACAGATACAAAGGGAAAGTGCTTCATAAGAATTGCATGCCATACATCCTGGAGCACATAACTGTCACGGGACCAACCCTAGGAAACCACAAGCCTTTGCAGAAGGATTTGTATCTGCTGCTATGCCTTTGGTTCCTAGAGACTTAGGCACCTCTCAAATGGGGTGAGAAACTTAACTAGTGGATTCTGTGAGGGAATAATATTTTAAGAACAAGCAGAAAAAGAGGTTTACTGTAATGAATAGAAGGGGGGGCTATTAATGGTTGTATCTGTGTTGTATAATCTGTCTTTCAAAATCCTTTTAAATATTGCTCACTACATAAATTAAATGTTAAGTTTGAGTCATTTAGCCCCTGATTTTTTTTAGAAGGGTCTCTCACAAGACTGCAATAATTTTGCAAATAAGTCTAGATTTCATGAAGCGTAGCCATCATTGGTGAACATTTGAAAAATTAATATAAGGCAAAATACAGGTTGCATTTGTTGATTGCAGCTCAGAGGTCAATTGTCTATAAGCCATAGCTGTTATCATCCCGATTTGATTAGGGGTTGCAGTCCCATGCATCCTGACATGGGAGTGAGCTCTGTTGTACGTGGGGCGGGGGGAGCTTACTTCCTTGTAAGCAAGCATAGGATTGTACTATAGATCATTTTTGTTTAATGCCTACATGTTTGCTGGCATAACAACAGATGCCAGTCTAGGAGCTGCCGTGTTGCCTGATAGCAGGCATAGGGAGAGACTAACAGAATTATTTTTCCAGTGCTGACCAGATGTAATTGCAAGTCACCCCATAGAAATACTAGGGCCTAGTCATCGTTAAACAAAAGAGAACGTCTTGTAATTGCTTTGAGGTTTTGAGATAAAAATGATGTAGGAATAATGTTCATTATACCATAGTCTTTTAGATAAAACATACATTTTAATAAAAAAACATTTCTCTTTGGCTCTCCTATTGAATGTTACTGTATTATACTTTCCATGTTTTTCAGATCTTGTAGAAAACTTCGATGAAGCATCAAAAAATGAAGCTAATTAATTCATTAATAGTTCTGGAAGTTGACATGGACTAGATTTAAGAAATCAGCTGTGTGGTTCCAAAGTTTTACAGAAACAGTGAACATTACCCGTTTAATAGTTCAATAATATAAAATATTTTGTATTTTAATTATGCTGCTTGTTCAGCAATTCCTGTTGGTTGATTTTTGCATTTTGCACTTACTCCCAGGATCTACCTTTTCAGTTAAAAAGGAAAAAAACAAATAATACATTTTCAGTGCAGATTAAAGGGTGTGTGCATGTGTGTGTATGTGTGTATGTGGCTTTGCGTACAGTGGAGAGGAAATCGGTGAACAGATCTATTTGACTTTCCCTTCCACCTTGAAAGTAGAAATAAAATGAGTCTTTAACTTGGTTAAAGGAACCTTTATTGTTGCAACCAAACAGTTCACATACAATAGTGAT